GTCTGGTTTTATTTTAAAAATTATATTTTTAGGCATATATGCTTTTGTGTTTGAAATGCCTTTTGATCAGAAACAGCGCTGAATTCTGTCACAAGATGGCAGACAAAGCAGAGTGATTTATTTCTTGATTTTCCTTTCATCTTTTACGACAACAGCGGCAGAGATAAGATACCCGACTTGAATCATCAGAGTTCACAATGTATAATGAATCATTGCACACAGATATAACATATCCGCAGGTTATGTTAGAACCACACAAGGAGAAAGTAAACGTTTGTTGCAATAGTTCAATAGTCTCTTGTCATAATGATTCATTGCAGCGTTGTGGACCTTTTCACAATCAGAAATGCTCTCCTACACCAGTATTGTAGGGGAAACATTTTTTAATTACTCCTGTGAATTTTTATCAAATTCTCATCTAAATGGACAAAATTTTACATTCTAATTTTAATCAAAATGAACTAATAAATAATGAAACATATTTTATAGACAGAAGCGTTTCTTTAAAACTATAGTTGGGCAGCATTTGTTTCTATATTTTCTTGATTTTCTTTATCAATACTGGATCTTAAATGACAAAAATGAATTTTGACCAAGTAAATAATAAAAACATTTTTCATTATTTTCATCAACAGAAGTGTTACTACTATATTGTGAAGCAATACTGTAAAACATGTTGAAAAAGCGACATACTATTTTAGCAAATTGTGGTAAAATGACATAATGGTGAAATCTTGATTTAGTGAATCTCACTTGTCTTTGTTGATTTCCTGTTTTCACAATACTGTCGCCCGCAAAAACAAATGTGCAGTTATCACCTCCATAAAAAGAAAGAAAAACTATCAAGTGTAATAAGGAAGTGCTCCAGATTATTACGTTTTCTGTGTTGTTTACAAAGTGTGTGTGTGGAGAAAAAGACGTTATTTGGCGGCCATTTTGAATTTATATTGAAGTCATTAGCGACATTTTAATTAACGAATTAGTTCTCTCACTAAATTCGCTAAAATAACATGCTCGCGAAAAACACATGTTTTTGAAGCTGTTATTATATGCTTTTCTCTAGTTTCTGTGTCAAGTCGGAACAAACCGAACAAAATTTTCTATTCCTGAAGAATTCTGACTAAAATTATGATACAAATATTCTGAAATGTAACAAAAAGGCAGTATTTTTGGAAATTAAATATATAAATTATTATTATGGAAGTTACACAATTTAAAATACACAATTTAAAAACAAAGAATCTTGTTTTACCCTTTGAGGGACAAAGTCGTTACTTTTAACAAAATAAGCCTACATATTTTGGGTCTGAATTTCTCAGAACAAACTAATAACTGAAGTTAATGGCTGACCACTGATTTGGATCAAACTTATTTACCATAACTCAGAATTCTACAGAAAATTCACAAAATCTTGACTGCAAAAAAAATTTTGATAGAAAAAATAATTAATCATCATTTGATCAGACCCAGAAATAATGTTTCTTGGAATATGGTATTACATTTTGATAGTATGAAAGTATGTATTTCAATACAGGAAGTGAATACTAATTCATGAAAAGAAACAACGAACAAACAAATATATCATTCAATTTATTGTGTAATTTTCTGATCAGAAGCCGACATCAAAACTAAACGGTACAAGTGAGTAAATATATTCAACCAAATCAAAAATGAATTTAGAATTAAAGTTTACTCAAATGTGAAGCTGACTATCATCACAATGGTTTAGTGAAGATATACTGTAAAAAAAAATATTTTCGCTGGAATTTAATTTTACACTGAAAAGTCTTTTTTGAATGCTTTGTATGGAATTTATTTTCACTGATTTTTGATGAGTTGAATGTAAGATGTAGGGAAAAAAGGTATATTCGCTAGATTTTATTTTTATTGAATCATTCCTTCAGTGAAAATAGCAAGTTTTTTACAGTACTATAAACAATTCAATTTTCACTGATGGAAATTTTGGCGATTTAAACATTTTTTGCATTCATGAGAAACAATTTCGTGAAAGTCACTGTTGCTCCATGTCAAAGGACACCAGAAAAATGTTCGCATGTACAAAATTTCATGATTATCAATGATAATTTTTTTTTAATTTGGTTACAAATTATTATTAAAAATAAAATTTACATCATCATCATCATCATCATTGCTCAGTGTGTGAAATGGGTGAATGCTCAGACGAGAAAGATATTTTTAAACCATAACCACGCTAACTTTGTTGTATCCTTTCGACGATTTCTCGCAAATCTCAAGAAAGTGTACTACCAGAACAAAACATTAGTAAAATTACTTCAACACCATAACAGTTACAAATACAATTGTCTCTATTCTATTTTTTGTTTACTATTTATTATTTGTTTGAATCAAATAACATTATGATGATTTAAACACTAACCTAATATTAACGGCGTATTAAGTAACGTTATCATTTTAGCAATTACTGTAAAACCATTTATTTTCACTGACATTTAATTTCACTATTTTGATCTTTTGAGCATAATCACTGTGTTTTAATTTCACAAATTTGTAAAGGAAATAATGAGTTTTATTGTTATTTCACAAGTTCATGTTGATTTAATTTAGTGGATTTTACGTATCAGCAAAAATAGCCAAATTTAAGACCCAGTGAATAAATTAATATATTTACAATGTTTTTTTCTGTAATTGTTGTTTATTATTTGTGCATATCAAATGACGCCATGAATAAGTAAACACTTGCATAATGGTAATGAACTTTGTACTAGGCAACATTATAATTTTTGCGATTAAAACATTTTTTTCTGGAACAATGTTCAATATAGAATCAATGATATAATATTACCAATTTACACAAATATCAATATCGATGTCACACATGTTTCCAAAAC